TGTAAGGAAATTGTGTTTAAACTGTTCGATAGTCTAACAAAAATAAGACTTTTTATTGGAGTTGCAATGATAGAAAGGCTTACAAATACACATAATAGCATTCATTTCATTAACTGTCGGTTAACTGCTGATGGATGAGACTGTTCTGCCTTAAGTTGCACAATTCCTTGCTTATTTGACATGTTAAATGTAAATAACCTCAGAAGTACATGATATTTTTCCTGCTATTTTTGATCTGATCCRAGTTTCTTCTATCAGCTTTATAAATCCTAGTACTAAAACCTGGTGAGATCCTGAAAAAATTTGGCGTGGTGACAAAAAMTGAAACATTTAAGACAAATGAAAACAAATCAGATCATTCCTCAGTTTTCCACACAAGTCTAGATCGATTCTTCGCTGCTTCGATTTTCTATTTGGATTGCTCTCATCTGAAGTCTAGAACTGTCTTGTAAGGAAGGGAATGAAGCTTTTCCTAGCATCCCAAGAGCCAACTGCAAATAGACCTAGGAAGTTCAATACTTTCTGTAATTCTGTGATGAGCTAAATGCATCAATAAAATATTTTATGCCCCTCACAATTCTGCGATGACTGAATTAGCTAAATGAGGAGTGATTTAAAATAGGCTGTAATGAGAAGTGAGTTCAACTGGATACGCACTGCACTCCAAATTATTGACAGGGAATAGATGAGTTTTAGCAATGTAGTGATTTAAAAGAGAGTGAGTAGCATATAGAAAAGAGGAAACATTCWTTGCTAGCTGTGAAAAGTCGAATCTAAGTGACAGAGGTTTGTATTAGGAGTCTCATTTCCTATYGACACACAGCTTGCAAAATACAAAATTTCCCTAGATTTCCAGAGAACAAGGATAAATTCTTGGAAACGTGAATTTATAACATTACAATAAAAAGYACATCTCTACTTTCATGGAATCAATGTAGATTAGAGTTACTTTCTTCATGAACTCTCTGAGGTGAAATACATTCAGCTCTTATGCCAACTTATGACAGAGCACCAGGCGTTTATCCTGCACCCCAATACAGCAGGCGTGTAAGCACACATCTAGCTTTCTGTTGCCAGTTGTCTCAATTAAATTGGACTACTCCTGGCAGCCAGGCTCCCCAGGCATCCAGATGAGTGTACGTGGGCATGGGGAGGAGAGCTGGGACCCAGGCAGGATGCAGATGTGGCTACAGGTGTCCCTAGCACAGGGAAAGGGGGCTGAGCAAAACAGGCACAGCACCACACAGGTGTTCAAAGGAGTCTCCTCCATTTTACCTCATGAGATCCTAGTTCTCCAGACACTGGAGATTACGGGGAATGTAGGGAGGAAGGACCCAAGCTCTTTTTCATCCGAGGAGGGATCAAGCAGTCTCTCTTTGAGGAAGGGGCCAAGCAGGGAATGTAGGGAGCAAGGGGGCAAACTTCTCAGTGGTGGCCAGTGACAGGACGAGGGGCAGAGGGTGTAAGTTGAACCACAGGCAGCTCCATCTCCATGTGAGGAAGAACTTCTTCACTGGGAGGGTGACAGAGCCCTGGCACAGGCTGCCCAGGGAGGYTGYGGAGTCTYCTTCTCTGGAGGTCTCCAAACCCGCCTGGATGCCGCCCTGTGCCCCGTGCTCTGGGTGTCCCTGCTGGAGCAGGGGGTTGGACTGGATGATCTCTGGAGGTCCTTTCCAACCTCAACCTCTGGGATTCTGTAATTCCACCTGCGTGCAGGTCCACCAGCCCTGATGGGACTAATGGTGGGTGTAAGCACCTGGAGAAGTGGGAGCTTCAGTTTCCCTGTGATGACCTTATCTGGCTTGCACAGCACGTGGTTCTATCTGTGCAGGTAGAACGTTCCCCTCCAGGTCTGGCGAAGGTTGCAAAGTTTTGATCATGTGTGCAAATGGGTCTGTGCAAAGGAAAACCAGAYCAGTGAGTTTTCTGGTTATGAACTTAGTGTGGCTGCTCACACATGCTGGATAAGCAGCAGACTTCAGACTTGTGCAGGGAAGAGAGCACTTTTTATGACCACTCTGTTCACTTACCATTCACCTCCCCAAAAACCAAAGTGACTATCACTAAGAGCAATTCACGCGCACCAACATGGAGCCTAGAGCTAATACCAAGATTTTAGGCTTTCTCCTCACCCATCTGTGACCCAGAATTATTTTCTTCATCCTGCTTCATTGTGGGTGATGAGCCTGGGAGGTTTTCACAGCATTACGCAGAGCTGTGACTCCTAAAAGTCTCTGCAGCATTTTCAGGGCTGGCTCCTCTCCCCTCTCCCTTGGTGGCGGCAAAAGAAGTTTCCTTGCGCCRCTGAGAAGTCATCACTGAGGTGACACTAATTGCTGACAGGCAGCACAAATGTTGATAGCACCTTTAGCAACGGTGCCCCAAACCTTTGCAAATCAGAGTTCAGGCTCTCTAATTATTTTCTCACCTTATATTGCCTCACACTCCTGTGTATATTAATTGGCAGTTCTGGTTTGTTATTTAGCTATCAGTTCCCTTTTCAACTAAAGCTCATTCCCCTGAACCGTGTGCTTCCATAGCTTCTGATATACCAAAAGGTTAAGTAGATCTCATTATCCATTTCCTGCAGAGATCTAATTTATACAAAAGGCCTTGAGCAGGGCAATATGATTGGCAAGAAAAAGAACAAGATTACTAGAAGCTGTTTGCTTGCTTAAGCAAATGCCAAGAAGCCCAGAGACCATTCAAGTTCATGCTCTGCATGGGCCTTGGCAGCTTGGCAGAGCTTTCAACCTTGTTTGGTTTGCTGTTGGACCCCCAGCTACCCCTTTCTGAGCAGTATCTAGTGGCTCGGCCACTTGTCCCCACCGTAAGCAGCTCAAGACAAAAATGGTACAAGTCAGACTTTGTCTCTGCTCCTCTTGGCTCACAATATGTTGGTCAATGACTCGTGTTAAAAGGCACGGCAGCCACTGCTGTAGCCCTCGTGGGTAGCAAGGAGGGCTCAGAGGAAAGGGTGCTTTCCCAAAAGGAAAATCTGGAAACAGACCTTGGCCCATTCCTTGAAGAGGAAAGTTGACAGAAAAACCCRTAACTACTACTACACAGAGGTGCTGAAAGCAGATTTCACTGGACAGCGAGCTGTTTTAACCCAAATCAATGCTGAATGTAGGGGTTGTGGCTCTTGTTTTGTTCAGAGCATCTGCAAGCAGCTCAGGCCACTGCAAAGAGCTACGTGCTCCTGTGCCAGTAATGGTGCAAGGAAATAATGCCCTGCATCTGCTCCAAGTGGTGCACCAAGGGCAGAGATGCCCCTACACAAGCCCAGCTCCCAYCAGCCGCTCAGTGCAGGCATTTCATGTGCCAACATGAGAGATGGCAGTTGGCACAAATGGGAAAGGTGCTTTTCTTTGTGTCCTTTTCTTTAGAGCCCTGCTGGAAGACCAGACCGTGGTGCACAGAGCCCTCTTTCATTCACTCAGTGATGCCCATTGCATGGTGCACCATGGATTTCAGCAGCCCATGTCCCTTCTCACCTCTGCCTGAAGGGCTCAAACCCCTACCCAGAGCCCTGCCTCATGTGTTGGGCATTAGGCTGCTCTGCTAAGAGGACAGCATATTGCAAAAACTCGCTTACTGCTCTAGTCCAGAAGGAAAGAGGTAGTGTTGCACCTGAAGAAGAGGACAAGAGCAAGCAGGAAAAGTCCAAGGTTCAAAGTTTCTAGAAAAAGTGCTGCAGCACCATCCTTGCACAGGAGGGTTCATGCCACAAATTCAAGYTGGGAACCATTAGAGATAGTGAAGACGGACACACAGGAACCAGCAGCAGGTCAGCAGAGGCCTCAGGGTGAGGAACAGAATAACACACTCCTGTTGACTATTTATTGGCCACTTTGACTTGACTAATTTGACTACATTTTTGACTATTGAGCTGTCAGCAAAAAGGCACCTGCAAAGTTTTGGACAACCCACCTCCTCAAGATGCACCAGTGGGAGAAAACAAAAAGAGAGAACAATGAAAGTAACAAAATATTCAAAGCCTTACCTACTTTTCATTGCATTTCATGTGGAAGCTGTTGCAGCAATGATGCAAGAAAGATTGCAGATCCTCCCCCCCACCTTCCCTGAGGTTTTGGCCAAAAACAGTATTTGAAAAGAGCAGGGCTGGGTCTGTATTAGCAAGTGGGGCACCTTAGCTGGACCTGAAGAGAAGCAGGCTGAGGATCTGGCATCCACCCTGCCAGCTCCTTTGGGCCAACTGCCCTGTGGTGACTGGCACGTGCCCTCCAAAAGGAAATTGGTCCATTTGCTGGGAGGTCACTCCAATGCACGAGCCAAAGCAGTTAAATAAGGACACACTTGGGATAAGGAAAAAATTCTCTCTTCTACTGTTGCCCATTTAAAGCAAGTCAGGGTAATGCTCTGCCAATAACTAACTAAAAACATTCCCAGGCTTAARAGGAAGTGGTCCTCCTCTTAAAGTGCAAGATGATGCAGATAAAATGCAGAAAAAAAAAATGTGCTCTGATATCATTTTGGATAATCTAGTGCCAATAGAAGTTGCTGTATGTAGCCTTTAATACTTAGTGCTCATCAGCTTGTATCATGTTGCATTTGGTTCATTTGCACTGAGGGTTTTAAAGTCAGCTAGAATAAAAAAACTTGGAAATTTTATTTATACATGTTCATATCACACAAAGAATTTAAAAGATTTWAAAAAAATCAAACAAAAAAAGCTACCAAATATAAAATCCCACCCACTTCTTTTCCTGTCCTCTTCTCTCTAAAGAAAGAGGCAAAACTGTGTGAGTTACTCRCTGAACAGCAAAACAGATAAGCTATTTGTCAAAAATACAAAAGAGAGACAAAAAGAAAGACTTAAGCGACACTTAAATCATAATCAAGACTTCAAAGAGGAAATTCTGCATCAAGATCCTGTAAGTTCATCAAAAATTTATTCCGAGGGAAAAAGAAAAAAAAGAAATAGTCATTTCCTCACTTAAACTACACACTGATTTGATTCGACTGGGGAGATCAAATGAAGGAAACAAGATTTAAATCTATTATAAACTAATATAAAAGAAAACAAAACCCTCTGGGTTAGAGTGCTGCACTCTGTACCAGCTGCCCACAAAATCCACCAGCAGCATAGCAGGGCAACCTTGGGGCAGACTTGGGAGCCTATTCACCTAGAGCTTGTCAGCCCAAATGCAGGTAAATGAAAAGTGTAGGTGGACATTAAGTCCACCCTGAAAGAAGCAAGCAGCACCCCTGAGTTTCAGCAGATCTGTATTTAAGGGTGTATTTCAGCTCCATTTTGTCTTATCCTAAAGTGTTAATTGTTATTGTTATATCTAGAAGATGGAAGGCTTTTCTAAAAAATAAAAATAAAACAAAAATATAGAAAGATGTCAGCTCATCAAACATCATTCTTGTTCTTATTCAGACGCTGCCCCACTGCAGTAACAGATCAAACTTCTGATTCTGTGGAAAGAGGCAGTAATTTAGTAACCGGGCAGTACTGAAGATGCTGCTGTCACTGATGGCACCAGGTCCCAGACTCGTGGCCAGGGGCAGGTGTTTCTGGTAGCTGTGTCACAGGCTGCCACCCTCCTCCTTCGGGCCAAGGAAACTCTTCACACAGGCTGCCCCACATCTGCAGGGCACAGGGGAAGCAACGTGCTGAGCTATAACTGATTGAATGTGAATGTAAATCTAGATTTGACTTACTCGAATATAAACTAGATAAAACCAGAAAAAATACTCTAGGCCACTTCATATGTCRGATTGTAAGTAGGGCAGTGATTTACTAAGACAAAAATGACAAGAAAAGTCTATTTTTAGTGATGTCTGTATTTTAAAACTTTGAGTAGATTTACTCAGGCTTCATAATATAAAACGTCTTTCAGGATCTTGAGTGATGTTACAGTAACTTTGAAGAGGAAAAACAGTAATTTCTAGTTAAATTGCTATATTTAAATACTCTCCTTGGTGGTTCAGCAAGATCTCCACGAGCTTGCCCAGGGTCTCTAGGCAGGAACACCGGCTGTCAGGACACTGGATCAGCTTGGTGCTCCTGCAAGAGTTAATCATCTTCCGAGTCACTCTCCYGCCTGCTCGGGACAGACATCCTGATTGAGGACATGAGCTGGTCCTGGATCTGCTTCCTAGGATTTTCCTCAAGGTCTGTCTTGATGGCACCTGATTCCGAGATCTTCCACTCCAGTTCTGTACGGGAAAAGATGAAGAGGCAAATGAACACAGGGAATCAAATTGGGCTTTTTAAAAGTTTCAAACTCTTGACTCTTATTTACCTCAAAATAGAGCACCCTGACTTTTCAGTTGATTTTTGAAGGGAGAGATAAAATAAAATAAAATAAAAATAAAATAAAATAAAAAAAAAAAAAAAAAAAAAAAAAAAAAAAAAAAAAAAAAAAAAAAAAAAAAAAAAAAAACCACAACCAGGTGTCCAAATCTCCCTCGTGCTGAATTCTCACCACTATCACCTCCAGAACTGGGGCCTTGCTATATTCCTCTCCATCCCTCTGCCACCTGGTCCTGGCCCCTGCCCATGTCCCAAATCCTTTCCATCTGAGCCACCTCCAGAGGTGATGGATGCAAAGCAGCCCCTGTAGATAGGGCATTCTTTTCTGCTGAAGCAGCAGCCCACCACCTTATATTCATGTGAGCAGAGAAACCAAGTTTGCACCTCTGTTGCAAGCGAAAGAATAATTCTGATGCATTAGAGCTATTAGAAATCACACACTGAGCTTACACAGACAGACAGAGGACGCCCAGAATAAATCATTTCCTGGAATGCAGGGGGAGAGAGAAGCTTCAGCAATTCCATTTACACATCTGAATTACAGGTATTTGCAGGAATGCACTTTAAAAAATAAAATTCACTTCTTCTACACGACTCAGTGCCCTGATGATGAGTTCCTTAGCAAGTGAGTAAAAGAAGCTCCTCTGTCAGTGGCAGGCCTATTACTGCACAGGCCTGCGTGGGGTTGCTCCCCAGAAGTGGCAGCAGGTCAGTATAGCACATTCAGCTGAAACCTTCCTCAAATCAAATTCCTTTCATCATGATGAATTCCTTTCATCAAATTCCATTTCCTTCAGATGTCCCAGATTAATGACTATAACTTCACGCTGTCTTTAATATCCACCGCAAGGCATTCAGTTTCGCAGACTTAGGGGAGAAGGAAGGAAGGGGGRAAAAAAAAAGAAAAAAAAAGAAAAGAAAAAAAAGAAAAAAAAAAGAAAAAGAAAAGAAAACGGGCCATTTCAGTGCACAGAAAGCTGGGCACTAAGTTAAGCTAGCTCGATTACCTTTGGACAACCTTGCCCTCCCACCAGGGATAAATAATGATAATAATAATGATAATAATAATATATCAAATCAATTAAGTACTAAAGATGTAAAAAAAAAAAAAAAAAAGAGACTGAAAGCTCTGCGGCTAGAGCTTGTTTCAGTTTATAATTAGGAACCACTACATTTAGAAACAGTCCTCAAAATAATAATCTCATTGGTGAGCTTTTCCCCTTCTTACAGCCCAGGCAGAGGACCATTTTCCACAGTAGGTTCTCAAGATAACCTGCAAACTCAAGGGCTGTATGAGGAAACTTCTTTGCATCCTATTCCAGTATGGCAAAGTGACACCATTGAACAGAGGCCTTGAAAGGCCACTTTTCTTTAGTTCACTTCAGGTAAAAATGCTCTTACAGGCTCACTTAAAAAAATAAATAAAAAGAAAAAAAAGAAGAAAAAGAAAAGAAAATCAGTTATCTGGACCAATATATCTACCCAGAAAGCCAGAAAGTATCCTTTCAACTCCAGTAAAATCCTCTAAGTGTCATTTCAGAGTTGCATTTACTTTCCAAAAGGAGGAGAAGAAGGAAAACAAAAATAAATAAATAAATAAATAAATAAATAAAAGTCCTTTCCACTGCTGATCTCTGCCCCCCCGCACTGCTGCAGTGCATCAGTCCCTGTCCCAGTAGCTTCAAATGACAGTTTTCAGGGAAGAGCCAGAGCACCGTGGTGCCCCAAGGACCCTCACCCCCATATCCAGAGGAAATTCAATGAGGAAACTCGATGTGTCCAGGACTGCACCCTCACCGTACGATTGGAGTTACCTCCTTCTCCTTCCAACCCTGACTTCACATCTTTCCCTGGGATTTCCTTGCCCCTTTTCCCCTTCCCGAGGCCGAAGGGGGAGGCGCTCACCGTCTCGCGTGAGGTTCATGCCGCCGAACACGAGCGGCCCGATGAACTGGGCTTTGATGTCGCCCTCGAGGTAGACGAATATCGTGGGCAGGTTCTTGTCGGGGTAGTTGGGGATGCAGGTGGTGGAGATGGCTTTGAGGAATTTCACCTCTCTGAACTTCCTCGCAAGCGCCTGCATGTGCTGGTTTATTAAGGCACAGAGTGGAATTCTGTCAACGAAAGAGACAAACATAGGTAAGAATGACAGAAAAAAAAATATGCCCCAGAAGCAATTTTGATTTCTTTTCTTTTTGTTCTCCAGGATGCCAGTTTTCAAGGGAAATTAGGGTTTGTGAGTGTTTTTTCTTTGTTTGATTTGAACAAGACACTAGCAATACAATTTGTCCCTCTGTCATATAGTCAGACTGGCTTATAAGGTATCATGTTTGAATACTGCATGAGTAAAGGCAAAATAGACAGACAAGCAGCTCCTCAAAAAGATAACAAAGCATACCCAGGATGGAATTAGGTGACGAGCAAAAAGAATAAATCAAATATTTCTAACCTCTTATTTATAATTTATAATTTATTTATTATTTATATATTAATATTTAAGATATTAATATATAAAATTCTAGCAACTTATTAGACCTCTTCAAACTCTTGCTCATGACATATCATCAAAAAAACTTGTCAAAGGAGACAAACAGTGATTCTTCTGAATGCATAGTCCCTAGCACCTCTTTATCCAGAATAATTTCCAGAACTGAGTATTTCAGTGGCAGCAGCTAGCTAGATGGGAAGACAAATCACTGCCACATATTCAAAACAATGTTATATTGTGATAGCATCTGTTCATTGTAAAATTAATCAGACTTCAGTCAAAAAGAATGAAATTGCTAATTCAATATTTTACTTCTTAAATTCCAAAATCAATACCATAATTTTCACAACTATGATTTTGTCTACAGCATTTCCAGCTATTGACAGTGAGAGTTTTAAGGGTAAAAGCAAACAAACACACTTACCCTTGTTTGTAGAGGTGCAGAATTACCCATATTCCTTTCCCAGCTTTAGTAACCTCTTGAACGTAATCTATTCCTGAAATCTCCAAAACTTCCCCAAATTTATTCTTCATTTGAGCTGCTTTCATTTCTGCTAACCTTTGCTGTCTGAGCAGCAAGGAAAGGGAAAGAAATTTTGAGAAAGATGCATTTTTGGTAGAACAACTTCTAACTAGGCCAGCTGAAGACCTGCCTTCACATACAAACTACAAACTTCTCCAGCCCCTCAGAACAACAAAAGCAAGTTAGCACAGGCCAAAARAAATGTTCTTATATTTGCATCACAAGCAAATCAGCCAGCATGTGAAGAACCACAACTGTTTCACAGGATGTATTTTTTTGCCCTTTCTCTCCTGAGCAGCCATTTCTTCTGCATATGTCACATTGCAAAAAATAAAAGGATGAGAGAAAAGGTACCTCATAACTATGTAAATCTGCAGTGCAGTGCAAGAGCAGAAGCACAGCCTGGATTTTCTAGCACCAGGTCTGAGAAAAATCCTTTCTCCCTTCTCTTCAACAATATTTAATGGCATTTAAAAAGGACCATCCTCTCACCCCAAAATTAACTCCAATTTCCATTAAAGCTAAGTCCTGCATGCCGCTCTGACCTGTACATTTCAATAGCTTTTTCATCTTCCTCATTGAACTCATCTTCATTTTCTTCTAGCTCTTCCAGAGTCATGTCCTCATAAGTTTTCACTAGAATGCAAGAAATACCAAATCAACAAATGTATTGTTTCAGGAATAAAAATGAATAGCTTTTAGCAGTTCATCAGAATTTCTTTTACTTTGAGGACAGAATAACTATTGCAGATAAAGCTTTTCTGCAAGATTATTGTGAGTGCATTTTTCTAAAATATTGCTATACATTTTAAATATATAGCTGGAAAGATAGTGATGCAAAGGACTTGGACCCAAAGGGTGGCTACAGSTAGTGTATGAGGACCTCAGCTTTCAAGTTCTGTGTTTGCAGCAGGGAGGTACCTAACACACATACAGCAAAGACAACGCACAGTAGGGAAAGCAGGTGATGACGATGGGATACTTTTATTATCACATTCATCATGGTTCCTTTCCAATTGTGCTTATTTCAGTTTTCAAGGATTTATACATATGAACCATAGGGGTGACATCTAGAGCAACTTTTTCATGTATTAATCCCAAACATTTAGGGATATATTTGCCTAATATTGTAATAGATGGTGACACTAAGCAAGAATTAGCTTCACTAGTTTTAGAAAAGGAAATAATTCCTTACAGACTCATTTCCACATTATTGCTGGCTGCTGCTTGGTTCAAGCGTCCCACAGAAACCATTCCAACATTTATCCTGCTGCCTGCCTGGGCGCTCACCAAGAGATTTCTCCTGCAGGATCCGAAGCTGCTCATCCTCTTTGGCCTGCTCTTGCTTTTTTAGGTCTTCCTTTGGAGGAAGAATACCCTTTTTGCGCAAGATATCATTCCACTCTGTGTCTTCATTTGGGTCCTAAAGGAAAGCAAGAAACAGTGATGTGCATTTAAGGAGAAATCTGCCACACACAGAAACTAGTACAGGCAAGTTTCTCAAGAGAAATAACACACTGCTAAAT